TAATTTTTACTTAATTGCTTGTATAGTGTGACCCATACACTGGGCAGCTCGAGAGTTGGAATGTTGCACGTGTCCAAGGTCTGTGCGACTGTGTTAAAACTGCGACACGTGTTAACACGTGTCGCAGTTTTAACTGTTTTAACACGTGCGACTGTGTTAAAACACGTGCACGTGTTTTAACACAGTCGCATTCCTCAGAAATGAGTGACGACCCTACTCCGGCAGTATTAAGAAAGGCAAGAAGAATCATCGCCTTACCAGGTGTTTCCTCAACCCTAACTGGGTCGCTCGATCCCCCCTCTAATGTTGCGTGTCCTAGGTTGTTCTTTCAACCAAAAACCCATAAGACAAACTGGCCGTTACGTCCGCTAGTAAACAAACGGTCTCATCCAACCTATTATTTAGAAAAAGCGCTTGCTAAATTCCTTCGCGCATTAGTTCCAGATTCTCCATATGTTACTCCCTCGTCTGTAATTGCTAAATCCACCATCGCTTTAAGTATTGGTACACTACGGCCAGACGCCTACACCTTTTACAAGCTGGATGTAGTATCTTTATATCCCTCAGTGCCAACCTTTGAGGCAGTAATGCTGGCTAATTCTCTACTTCTAAGAAAGGGCTTTAACATCCAACAAGTGCTTGATTTACGAGATGCGCTCAGCTTCGTCACCGAGTGTAATTACTTCCGTTTCAACCAGAAAATCTATTTACAAAAGCAAGGGGTTCCTATGGGCTCCCCTTTATCTGCTATCCTGGCAGAACTTATTATGAGAGAGATCGAGCACAGAACGTTCAATTCCCCGCTTGCCATCCACTATCCGAGGCTGTATTTGCGTTACGTTGACGACATCCTCATAGCGTGGGAAGACACAGATGAGACGTTCCTCATCTTTATGCAGCAACTGTCAAGCATATATCCTTCCATCAATTTCTCTTGGGAAAAAGAAAGCGATGCGGCAATAACGTTCTTAGACCTGCATATAAGTAAGTCTTCGGAAGGACTACAATTCTCGGTTCATCACAAGTCCAGCATAGCTCCACATATTATACCAGCAGAGGCTTTTCAGCCTTCTCGATATGTCAATGCTGCCATTGCCGCTCTCGTTAGAAGGGCTTACTTACTATCATCTTCGCAAGAGCTGGTAAACATGGAGTTAGACAACATAAGTTTGGGGGTACGCACTGCTGGCTTTTCACGTGCAAAATTTACGCACGTGCTCAATATGGTAAAGAAATCACTGTTTCCAAGTACCACATTATGCAGCAAAAGAGAATTTTCAATGGTACAAACATCGTTGCCATACCTGGGACCCCTCTCTATACGTATCTGCAGAATCTTTAAGCAGCACGGCCTTATACTACCACTAACCCCACTTCCAAACCTACGCAAACTCATTTGTAATGATAGGGACAAATTTTCCACGCTTGAGAAGTCGGGGGTCTATGCTGTACCTCTGGAAAACCTTACAACGGGAGTAAATGCAAGATATGTCGGGGCCACTACTAGAATGCTTGCCAGCCGACTAGAAGAGCACCAAAACGATGTTGCGAGGGGTAGACACACCACCGAGCTCGCAAGAAAAGTACTTGAGCAGGGTTACAACCCGCTATGGTCCCAAGCGGTTATGCTCAAGAGCTGTAAGGATCGAAAAATCGTATTTATATGGGAGTCTCTTCTTACTACCACCTTGGACACGTGCAACATTCCAACTCTCGAGCTGCCCAGTGTATGGGTCACACTATACAAGCAATTAAGTAAAAATTAGCATTCTCCA